AATTGGAGTCACCTCTACAGAGTTTCTGAGATTCCGTATTGATGCTGAAGGCATCCATCCTGCGGAATCCAAGCTCAAAGCAATTCAGCAGGCCCCAAGTCCCAAGTTGAAGAACGAACTTCAGGCTTTTCTGGGACTGTTAAACTTCATTCCTCCCTCACAAGGCTGCATTGGCTGAGCTGTTACACTGGCTCTTGGATAAACAGGCTCCATGGCAGTGGACAAAAGTCCATGAAAGGAGCTTTGCAGAGGTCAAGACCTTGCTGTCTTCAAATGTGGTTCTAGCACATTTCAATGAGCAACTGCCTGTGTGCATAGCCTGTGATGCATCCCCTTATGGGATTGGGGCTCTGTTAAGTCACTTAAAGGCTGATGGAATACAAGTCCCTGTAGCTTACTATTCTAGGACTCTATCACCTGCTGAGCGTAATTACCCGCAGATAGATAGAGAAGCCTTGGCCATAGTGGCTGGCATAAAATTTCCATGACTTTTTATATGGTCGCCATTTCACGGTCTTTACAGACCATAAGCCACTGCTGGGGTTGTTTACTACCAACAAGCAAACCCCACACATAATCTCTCCTAGAATGCTGAGATGGTCAATTTTTCTTTCTGCATATGACTACTCACTGGTTCACAAACCAGGCAAAGAAATGGGCCATGCAGATGGCCTCAGCAGACTACCTCTACAGCTAGTAGAGTCAGATCCTGCTCCAGCTAATCACATACTTTCCATTCAGGATTTGCCTGAGTTTCCCCTCAATGCTAGGGATGTGGCTGCAGAAACAGCCACTGATCACACGCTAACACGCATGTTGACATGGATGCTGTCAGGATGGCCTGACACATGTCCTGGCACAGAGTTCCAGAGTTTCTGGAAGAGGAAGTCCGAGCTATCCACCTTCAAGGGTTGTGTCCTATGGGGTAGCAGGGTAGTGATCTAAGCCTTATTGAGGACTAGAGTCTTGCTCTCTCTGCATGAGGGACATCCGAGAATTGTCCGGATGAAGGTGCTTGTGCACAGCCATCTTTAGTGGCCTGGGCTCGATAAAGAGATCGAGGCTCAGGTCCACGGGTGCAGTGTTTACCAACAGTCTAGGCCTGAAATGCCTCAGGCTTCTGTACATAGGTGGGAGGAGACACATGCCCCTTGGTTGAGGGTTCATATCAACTACGCTGGCCCCTTTCAGGGGCAATTCTTCCTTCTCCTCGTGGATAGCCATTCCAAGTGGCTAGAGGTCATTCCAATCTCCTCCACTACTACTGCCAGGACCATCCAGGTGTTGAGAAGAATCTTTGCCTCTCAAGGGCTTCCAGATGTCCTTGTCTCTGACAATGGACCCCAATTCACTTCTTCTGAGTTTCAGGCTTTTCTACAGGCCAACATGATCCGTCATGTCACATCTGCATCGTTTCATCCAGCATCCAACAGCGAGGCTGAGTGTATAGTGCGCACAACCAAAGATGCTTTAAAGAGGATCATTCACGGAAGCTGGCATCATAGGTTAGCTGACTTTTTTTTTTGCCACCACACCCCACTTTGCACAGCCACTAGAAAGAGCCCACTGAACTCTGCTGGGATCGCAGACTCATTACAAAACTGGACAGGTTGCACCCAGACCAGGTGGCTGCACAGGTGTCACAGCTGCGGGCACCTAGGAGACTACAGGTGGGCGATCCGGTCTGGGCAAGGAACTATGGACCTGGACATCTCTGGGTGACAGCAGTGTTCTGCAAAGTCACTGGGCCGCTGTCATATGAAGTGGCCTTGGATGATGGTCGTGTGTTACATCGACACATTGACCAACTGCGCTGGAGGCTTCCAAGCCACACATCTGCTCCTGACTCTGCTCTTGGGGGGGGAGGACCACGATTACAATCGTGGACCGCAGTCTCTCTGCGAAAGCGGAACTTCACAGGCACCAGTAAGGGGTTGTGACAATGAGGCGGCTCCTGACTCTGGCACAGACACCCGGTCCATGGGACATTGCTCGCAACCGGCTGTTCAGGCCATTCCATCTGCTGGTCTTGGGCTCATGGGACAGTGCTCCCAAGAGGGGTCCATTGTGGACTTGGGGAATCCCACCCCACCAAGGAACTCTGGTCTGGGTTTACAGGATCCGGCCAGTCAGCAGGATGGAAGGTCGCCTGAGTCTAGGGGGCATCAAAGACCTGGTCTGCCAAGCCTGGCAGGCGAGCTTGCAGGCCAGGCAATCACAACCGCTCCAACAAGGTCAGAGTGAGCCAGAGGTCCACCCAAGCACTTACAGGACTATGTAAGATTCCTGTCAGGAGGTGGGCAGGTTTAGGGGTACTTAGAAATCAGAACATGCTCAAAAGAACAAGTGTTCAATTTATAGTAATGCACAATAGTGAATATCATTGTGTTGTGAATAAAGAATTGACAAGGTATTAGATTTGTAGTATTGTAAAATATTAAGTACTATGTTTTGAAATAAGGGGGAGGGGTGTTATGTTTTGGGCCTGCTGAGTGACCATGTGGATGCCCGGGACCAGACAGGCTGTCTCCAGCCTATTGCCCATTCGCAAACCGGGAGAATCCGTTGTATTGATTGGTTGATACTGTCCCTGCAAAGGGGTATAAAAGGAATCCACACCATTTTGTGTTAGTTCTGTTGGAGATTAAAATAAAGAGAAGACTGTTGTTACTCCTGCCTCGTCTCAATGCCTTTACATCGAAAACAGAACAGTAACCTTTTCTCAGGAATTTATTGCTTTTTAAAAAGCATTCAATGAACATTATGCTATTAATTATTGTGAGATAAACCTAAGTAATCTGTTGGGCCTTGTTTTAGTTCATCTGCATAACATATGTTACAAGTAGAAAATTTAAGTGTTATATTGATTTATTAACTGATTTCTCTTCTTAATGTATGATATGAAATAGCATAGGCTGTCTTTTCAAGGTAAGAGTTATTTTATATTGCAAGGCATTTTGTTATTTTGTTTGCTGTAAAACAAATTGCAATCAGTAAACCTCATTATGTCCTTGGAGTATAAAGCAACAGATGGATATATTTATGTATTATTTGTGTTGCTTACATAAGGTAAGGTTAACATATGTCCAATACTTCCTGACAATTCTGTTTGTAGAATAAGAACACTGAATCTGCATGGAAATCTAATAATAACCAAAAAATAAAGCTACTCTCTTCCTTCCCCACATTACAATCAAGCTTTCCTATTTTCTTCCTTCTCCTCCAATTTCACCAGGATCCAAATCTTATCTCTTTTCTCTTTCTTCTCACTTCATGTTTCTTCTACCTCTTCTTATTAATGATAATGATTCAGGAAGAATTACTAATGTAGGTTTGAATAATATTGTATATAGAAATATGGGAATATTGATATATATTTGAATGAACGAGAAAGATTTGGCTGTGAAACTCTCCAAATGACTTTAAGCCATTACTCCCTTGCAGCCAATAGTATTTCCCAGAATGCCTGTATGGAGGATAAAATGAGGACTGAGTAACTTGCAAACAATCATTAGGTTTTATACAGGGCAAGGGAATGGCAGGGGATGGTGTTCTAGAAGATAGACATATGTCAGAAAAGATACACTTCCAAGGTTCCATAAAATGGCACACTTTAATTGAAGGGACATGGAGTATACATCTCCTGCGATGCATAGAAAGAACTGGAGAGAGGTGGCCCCATGCCAAGGAAGTTTTATAACTGACAACCATACCTTGAATCCAGCTGAAAGCACACTGGGAGCTGCTGTTTTTACTTGGTCTTTCAGATTTGATTTGCTTGTTCTAGAGGTGGGACAAGTGATACTGAAAACTCATTGCTCTATCAATATTCAATAATGTTTATAATTTAATTTCTTACACCACTTACATTTAATTACAGTGCAATATCAATATCTTACAACAACTTAGTCTTCTATCACACCTAAATTAGTGAATATGATTACCAATATGTAGACTTGATGGCGAAATTTAATTCTGTATGTAATCAACCAAAAGTAAAATTAACAGAAATTATTCAGTTATCAAAGCATCAGATTTGCAGATTTGCTTTACTTGCACTGGGAGTTTATTCTGGAATTGCAATTAAATCATTTTAAATTTAGTCTATTGATAGTATCAGTTCCATGTTTATTTATGACTTCTATTAATCCTTTCACCTTCCCTTCTGTCTTTTCAAAAACTGTACAGGCAAAAAAAAAAAAGGATTTTTGTTGCCAAATTTCAATAGCTTGGTTAAGATCATACAAGCTGTGCTGAGGAATCATTGTAGGAATCAACTTGTCTTAAGTTATATAAGTAGTTCATTTTATAATAATCAGCCAAGCATTCTGATGCTTGGGGACAAATCTAAAAATTTTCATGTTTAATACTGCATGTTATATATGTGTTCAATTACATTCAAGCATACCTTAGCTATTGCAACAGTGAAGACCATTTTAAAATGTGTATAATCCTGATTTGGTGTACTCAAATAACTACTTTTGAATGTCTCCACATGGTGGCCATTTTCAATGTATTTACACAGATATTTTTCAATGGTCTTGAGAACTTCAATTTCTTTCTGTAAGTTTACTTTATAATTTCCATGGTGCATTTTAGGTTGGTGGCAAGGCCCAGTTTCTATGACATTTTGCAGTCATTGAATAGTCAATCAAGTGTATCTTTTGGCAGAACTTCATATTAATAATGAAGAAAAAATATCATGAGAAGATGAAATAAATGTCTCTTCATTAACTCATTAGCAGGAAGAAAGGCCCATACATTTAACAATATGTTAAGTCACTATTGTATAATATGTTAATAAAAATAATCAGGAGAGATTATCTTATAACTGCATGAACTGATGTACAGTTTTCCATGTGTCAATTGAATATGTAAAAACCAGATCACACATTGCTTAAATATTTGCTTGCCTGTCTTGATATAAATATATAACATTTTGCTTTACTTAGCCTAAGCAGTACATAACTATTCAGCAATAATTTTATTTTCCTCTTTAGGGGCTGATGTTATCAATTTTGATGGCCATGCTGTATTACCGTACAGATTTGGACACAAGAAGAAAACATTGAAAACGCTGAAAGATGTCATCGCTTTGAAATTTAAAACCATTGAAAGTGAAGGTGTACTCTTTCACGGAGAAGGCCAGCAAGGAGATTATATCACCCTAGAACTGAAAAAGGCCAAACTGTTTCTTAATTTAAATTTAGGTATGGCTTAAAAAAACAAGAAATTGTCTATGCCTTAGCATTAGATTTATAACTCTAAATTTATCCCTTACCTTTTCTAAAAGAAAGAATTTAAATAAGTTTTTAGACAGAATGAACTTAGAATGATATAGATTTATTTTAGGAACATTTTATCTAGAAATGGAATCAAGTTTTTTTTTAGTTCAAGCCCACAGAGAAAAATATCACATTCCTGATTGTGATTTTTCAGTATACTAATCTGAAGTAAGGAGCCTGCTAGAGATCTGAAGTAGAGAATCTGTTCCATCTGTGGGCTTCTCCTTAACACCTTATGGGAGGAGGATGTCACTAAGTAGTTTTCAGTTCAGACTCTTTGGTATCAGCCTAGGACTGCTAAAGGCCCTATGGCAGGTATGTGGCAGAAATGTAGGGCTAGCAAACTCAGGGAGGGTTTATTATCTGCCAATGTTTTTTTTGGGGGGGGGCATTCTTTGTTTAACATAATCAATTAATATAGAAAACTTTGGCAATGTTACTTGTTATAGGAAAAAGGACTTCCGTGGGTACCACGTGATGGGAATGGAATGATACAAACCATCTCTACCCTAACTCTGATGTGTAATTTTCTAGGTTCCATCTCAAGTATCTAAGAACCAGATGATGCACATGAACAAATAAGCATAAATTTCAGGAATATGTGGATTGAAATATTCCTGAAATATATGCTAATTATTTGGATATAAAGCTAAGTGATTAGGTTATTTTTTATATTTAACAGTGCGAAACCCATCAGTTCTCCTATTTTGCATCACTATATTTTATTGCTTTTAGCTGGTTTTTCTTAACTGGCTTCTAATACTAACTGTAAAAAATTCAGAGATGACCTTGGAGAAGATACGAAAGAATGATTAAGAAACAACTAGCAGAAAAGATTGCTTAGTCTGGAAACTGAAGGAAACATTCTACACAAAGTCAAAATAACCCACCTTGATTTTGTTTAGTATAACATGGGGCAGAGATAAACTTTGACAGGTTTTCAAGTTTCTGAGGCAATGCCTTGCAATAATAAGGTAGCATTTCTTAATCTGGTTTACCTTAAAGGATTGACAAGGACAGAGGTGGCTGGTTTATAATATCTTGAGACAGTGGAACTTAATAAAGTAAGGCAGAGGAAAGAAGTGTGTTCTGTAACTTTTTTTGTATATTTCCCTTATCATAAAAATATTATCCACAAAACTGTTTAATAACAAAACAGACTCTCAGATGAGAAAAAAAGAGAACTAAATATCTCTAGATACAGTGATGACCAACAGACCAGTGACAAGCTTGGTCCAACAGAATAAGGAGAGGTCAAAGGTTTCCCATTGGACAGCTTCTCCATATGAAGAAATTGCATGATAAAGGTCATCTTGCAGGTCTGAGTGTCGTAGATGAGTGAAGGTGTCAACCATAGCTGAGCCTTTATAGACCCTGGGTTGTACTAGCTTTTTTATTTATTTATTTAATTTCTTTTCCAAATTTTAACATTTTATTAGATTATAGAATAAAATACAAAAATACAAAAACAAATAATAGGACACAATGGGGAGGGAAAAGTGAAAGAAAAGTAAGGAGGAGAAGCAGAAAAAGAAAAGAAAAAGCATTGACTTCCGACTCAGTCTGTTGCAGTAGAATAAAGTATTAACATCGAACCTAAACTTTTTACTTTTCCATAATAGTATAAACTAGCCATTTCTATGACAACAAATAAATCTAATCAGTAAAACCCAAAATAAAGTTTCATTTTTTTCCACCTCAAGCATAAAGTCCAGAAGTGGCCTCCAAGTAGAAAACAAAAATACTTATATTCTTTTCTTTAATTATAATGGTCAATTTGTCTATTTGTGCCAACTCTATCAGTTTCTGTAGCCATTTGTCCATAGTGGGAATCATTATGTCCTTCCATTTTTGTGCATTTTGTCCATTTTGCTGCTGTCAACATAAGATATGTTCCAATTTTTTTCCCAAGTCTTTATCCATTGAGCCCTCCAAAAAGTTTCTGGTTTCATCTTTATCTTTGTTTTAAGAATTTTCTTCTTTTTCTAATATAAATTTTATTGGTTTTAATAGGGTTAGGGATAAAATGGGATCGGGATTAGGATTGGGGTTTGGGTTGGGGTTAGGCTTGTGGTTGAGGTTTTCCCAGGTAACATTTTCAATATGTAGCAAATAGCATATTATCTGGGTACATGTATTTAACTAAGAATAATAGATGTAGTTAATTATCATAAAAGAATTAATCACTCAGTAGCTTTCTTCTTACTAATATATATTCAAAATTACATGTCACATTCCTTTCTCTCTGACTCGTTTTTCTAGCCATTGGTAAAAGTTATCCCATGTTCTAAAATAGACTGAGTCTTCTTTCTCTTTAATCTCTAAAGTCAATCTATCCATTTCTGCACATTCTAGAATTTTCTTAATTAGTAATTCTTCAGTTGATAAGTTTTCATTTTTCCAATATTGGTCAAATACAATTTTTGCTGCTGTTAATACAAGCAGTATTAGATACCTGCAATCTTTCTCATACTTGGCTCCTATTATTCCTAACAAAAACAGTTCTGGTTTAAAGTCTATTTGTTTTTTAGTCATCTTCTCCAACCATAAATGTATTTTAGTCCAATACCTTTTTGCTTTAGTGGTATAGGGTTTCCTGCCTGAGCAGGAGGTTGGACTAGATGACCTCTGAGGTCCCTTCCAACTTTATCGTTATTATTATTATTATTATTATTATTATTATTATTATTATTAGTAGTAGTAGTAGTAGTAGTAGTAGTAGTAGTAGTAGTAGTAGTAGTAGTAGTAGTAGTATCTGGCCCTTGTTTGCATTTCCAACAATTGTTTGAAGTATTTTTAAACATTTTCGCTAGTCTCACTGATGTCATGTGCCATCTTAAAACATTATGTATAGGTTTTCTTTATATGGTACTGCTTTAGTTAATTTAATATTTATTTCCCATAATTTTTGCCACTCTTCTAATTCTATAGTATGTCCAAAATTCTTTGCCCATATTATCATTGTTTATTTTGCTTGTTCTTCCTCCATCTTTAAATTTAATAGAAATCTATAGAGTTTCTTGATCAACTTTTCATCTGTTTTTAACAGTATCTCATCAAAGTCTGCCTGCTCTTTTTAAAAACCCGTTTTAACATCTTTTTCATTTCTCATTTGAATTTGCAGATATGGCCACCATGCTAAATCAATACCTTGTTCTTGTAATTCTTGTCTGTCTTTCAATTTTCCTTCATTATCCAAAATTTTATTTTATTTATTTATTTATTTTATTTTATTTTACAGGATTTATATGCCGCCCTTCTCCCCATGGGACTCAGGGCGGCTCACAGCATATTAAAACATCGTACAAAAAAATTTCCCCTACTAAAAACCAATTAAAACCCAAATATTGGTAGCTGTGGCTCTTTAAAATCGTTAAAAATTGTCCCTATTTAAAACTCACCCTAGGTCAGGCCCGCTTGTTGAAAAAGCCATGTCTT